CATTTTGAAGGGTAAGAGTGGTAGTTTTAGAGGGCATGATTAGTTTTTAGAAAAAAAAATGTTCGCTCTGTGATATAAGCTCAAATATAGGAAAAAAACGTGTTTTTGCACTTTTAGGTTAGGATATATCGGAAACGTGACGTATAGGAGCAATTCTGACGCCAGATTAGGATTCTACACACCAAAAACCTTCGGGCAAGTGAGGTCTGGTTTTTGGGTGTGAAAATTGTTGCCCTGTGTTATCTAAGAAACCATCAGAGATTGGAGGAAACGCTGACAATGACAATTTTTTTTATCTGATTATCCAATGAACTTTTGATTGATTTTTTACAGACATCCTATAGGAAGCAATCAATTGATTAAATAATTAATTTTAATAACAAATACATTGCTAAAAGATAATTAATGTTATTTAATCATTAATGTACACAGTACTAATATGTTTTCAGTTCTTTCAACTGAAATATTTCCTTTAAACAAATTATGAGGTAATATTTATTCCACTCATTCCTTCTTAGAAATCAAACCAATATATCTAAAAGAAAATAACGTTTTGCTATCGGAACTACTGTAACAATTTACTGCGGCAGGAGCGTGCCTTGAAATTTCCCCTGTTATTTTCAGAATGTTAAAATATACAGGGTGTCTCATAATTAGCTGCCAACCCTGAACAGGCCGATTCTATGATCAAAACTAAGTAAAAAAGTTCATATGAAGAGGGAGGAATGGAAATAATTTTTTTGCAATCTCTCAATCGTGTTGTGATAAATGAATGAAATTTGATATACACAGCTAAATTTTGATGAGCAATTTGATGGACTAATCCATTTATTTCCACAAGGTCCATTGGGGTGGGTACGGGGGGGCCCTTGGTACTTTGCGTGTGTAACTTTTTCATCTTTGACTTTTTAACAAATTGGACAGCAAATTCCGTTTTCCCGAACTGTTTTACGTTAAAAAGGTACTCTTGTTTCAAATCGTTATCTTTAACGGTTTCTGAGAAAATCGCTCTTGAATTAATCCCACTTTGGTCAATTTCATAGTAATTTAAACAAAATTATCAAGGTATTCTTATGTCAAAGTATTGTCAACCCGATTGCCAATTTAATAGTTCTAAGCGAAAAAAATGGAAGAGTTTACGGGACAAGAGTTAGTTGATATGATATTTATTTATGGCTTTTGCGATGGTAATGCTGCAGCGGCAGAACGCGAGTACGGGAGCAGGTTTCCAAACCGAAGGCTGCCATCAAGGAGGACATTCCCTACGGTATTCCGCAACTTAGCTGCAACCGCCACTTTTCGAAAGGCACCGGGTCAAGGACGTCCCAGGATTAATAGGGAAGCGGAGGTCCTTGACGCTATTGAACAAGATCCTACGACTAGCATACGGAACATTTCAAGGCAAATAAATGTTCCTCGGCCAACGGTACTACATATCTTAAAGATTTCCTTAACAGAATTGATTAGATGTGCTACTAACATTTCAGGTTGGAAGAATATTAAAGCGACAAGGTCTACATGCCTATCACTATCGACGTGTACATGGCTTGATACCAGAAGATTTTGCGCCACGTATGCAATTTTGTCGCTGGATTTTGTCGCTGGACAACGAGCAAGCTTCCAAAATTTTGTGGTGTGACGAAGCTACTTTTACCCGAAATGGAAAATTAAATTTTCATAATTCTCATTATTGGGAAGAAGAGAACCCACATGTTGTTCGGAGAACAAACTTCCAGCAACGGTTTTCCATAAATTTATGGGCGGGAATAATTCACGACACTCTGATTGGACCTATTGAAATTCCACAACGTCTCAATTCAAATCTTTATTTAAACTTACTTCAAGAAAATCTTCCCCAAATTCTCGATGATCTGCCTCTAAATTTACGACGTAACATGTTTTTTCAACACGATGGAGCCCCGGCACATAGTGGTCGCAATGTTCTAAATTTCCTAAACGAAAATTTCGCTGGACGGTGGATAGGGAGGCACGGACCGGTAGCTTGGCCGCCGCGTTCTCCCGACCTAACCCCGCTGGACTTCTTTTTCTGGGGATATCTAAATCAAAAAGTTTACGCCACCGAAGTCGATACCCGTGAGGAATTGCTGCAGCGTATCAATGATGCAGCCAATGAAATTCGTCAAAACCGTTTTAGCATCTTAATAGCTTCGAGAAGTGTTACACGTAGGGCAAGACTTTGTATCAGAGAAGGTGGAGGGTTTTTTGAACAGTTTTTAAAATAGCTTGTTGTCTGTTATCAAAATTAAGTTTCCATCTTATGATCCCTTCGAAAAGTGACGGTTGCAGCTAAATTGCGGAATACAGTGAGGAATGTCCTCCTTGATGTCAGCCTTCTGTTTGGAAACCTTCTGCCGTACTCGCGTTCTGCCGCGCAGCATTACCATCGCAAAAGCCATAAACAAATCATCATATCATAATTGTTCTACATCAATAATGTGTATTACTGATTACGTATTAAATTATTATTATTATTTTTTGTTTAAATTACTATGAAATTGACCAAAGTGGGATTAATTCAAGAGCGATTTTCTCAGAAACCGTTAAAGATAACGATTTGAAACAAGAGTACCTTTTTAACGTAAAACAGTTCGGGAAAACGGAATTTGCTGTCCAATTTGTTAAAAAGTCAAAGATGAAAAAGTTACACACGCAAAGTACCAAGGGCCCCCCCGTACCCACCCCAATGGACCTTGTGGAAATAAATGGATTAGTCCATCAAATTGCTCATCAAAATTTAGCTGTGTATACCAAATTTCATTCATTTATCACAACGCGATTGAGAGATATTGCAAAAAAATGATTTCCATTCCTCCCTCTTCAATGGGTCCCTGTGCCCTTAGGAAGCATTTCCGGACCCATGTTCATATGAACTTTTTTACTTAGTTTTGATCATAGAATCGGCCTGTTCAGGGTTGGCAGCTAATTATGAGACACCTTGTATACAGGGTTCTTCACGGTAAGTGGCCTATTAGACGTTTCAGAGGAACCAAAGACAATATGACTCTGAAATTTTATTTACGGGAGTTATCAGATATGTTCTCTTCAATGAAAATAAAACCATCAATGTAGCACTTCCGGTTATACCGGAAGTAGCTGTCAACTTCGTTATTTTAAATGGAACACCACATATACTACTGCATTATCGACAAGATAAATAAAAATAGGTCAAAAATGTTAAAGCTTCCCTGTACCTAAATCTAACCGTTTTCGAGATAATCGTCATTTTGCAAAAATTTTGACAGATGCAAGCGTTGCGAAAATTCCTTATATCTTTCTTCGTTATGGGAGCTTTCACTTGGTTCTCGGAATACAGAAAGAATATAACATGCACTACCTTCGCTCTTTAAAATTACCTGAAGAAAATTATACTAAGTGTCCCATTTTTCACGTTACATTGAAAACTTAAAACCGACAAAACTTTTTAAATTCAAATGGAACACCCTATATCTTTCTATATCATATTATAGAAAATCAAATTCTCTTTTTACTGATATAGGCATTGTAGGAGTTACAGTTCCAATTTTCTCAGATATTTGCTGTTTACTTACATTCTCAAGAATATTACGTTAAAAATATCATCAAATGTGCCTTGAAAGGCAAATATTGGTAGTGTCATTCAGTTACCCGTAAACGTGAAAATTTCGTTCAAATTTTGTTAATAATGAATTAATATTATTAAAACTTCAGTTGGTTTCTTGAAAGTTTAGCAAAGTGTTGTTCTACAGAAGAAGTGATTTTAATCCGTACTTTTACGGGTTACAAAGTGATAAATCGCTGCCATTTATTTAAAAACACCCTGTACATTTTCCCATTTAACATTTCTATTGCATTTCCTTCGTATCGAGTTGTAATATCATAATAAGGTTATTCTAATCGGATCGGGCAGTCTTGCCTTAATTTAACCCAATATACCTCCGACATAGTTCCACAGACCGCCTCCTCGAGAAGAGAATTTGATGTATAACTCTCGCAGCGGCTACGCTTTTTCAGATGGGAAGAACGTCATAAACTCGCTCCTAGCTCTTAGATTTATTTCCTTCTAAAATTAAATCTGGCTCCTAACAATTCCTCAAAAGTTATTAACATTATCTTTATTGCTTCCTCGAACGTAAACCAGAACACACAATCTCAGCGTTACTCAAGTCGGTACACACCACTGTAACGTTGCGTTTATTACCCGAGTTAATGAACTGCACTCTAATTAATTCTGTGATTAAAATTTGTTGAGCGTTCACTTAGGCGCAAAAGAAAATTTAGGGCTCACCTCCAAGGGTAGCGCGTATTTCCTCAAAAGTTTGCCGTTAAGGGAATCTACAGAACAAGCAGGTATGTACCTTTATCTGGCTCAAGGGTACCTTAAAGCACGTAATTATTGTAATAAGTTCGTATATGTTGTAGGTATATATAGGGTGGCCAAATGAAAACGAAACCGAGCCATTTTCAGGAACTGCGTCAATATTGTAGAAAAACGCTCAGACCCGTCGATTTTAGATTAAAGGGGGACATGGTATTTCTGACTCCGCCACTTTCACCCCCAAGCAAGGGTAAGCAGCACCCCAAAATATTTAAATGGCATTGGGGGTTGAGTAATATTTCTTTTTAAAGCTCTTACAATTCTCTTTACAACAGACTTTAAATTTTATAATTCCGCCCAACACTTATTAAGAATTTTGATTTTAAAGTTGAAACTTTATACAAACAATTACTAACGGTAAAAATGTCAGTCATTCGAGTTAAGTACGCCAATGGTATACATTTAGTATTTCTTGCGTTACACTGGTTTTTGGCGATTTGTTATCACTTTCGTAAAAAACACAATTAAAAAAACAGAAATGAATGCTATACACACACACAATGAACGTAAAATTAGTGGATTCCAAATTATTTTCTAGTATTATTTTGGAAGCGTTGGTTGGTAGTTTATTTAATTGTGTTTTTGAAAATTAANTAGCACTGGTTTCGAACTAAGAAAATGGAATTCGAACAATCGAAATGTAATAAATGATAAAGATAATACGATAATCGAGTATTACATAAATGAAAACGATCAGTCACAAATATTAGGACTTTCATGGAATGCAAAATCAGATATTTTACACTACACGGTAGAACAAGGTCAATTTAACGGCAAGGTTACTAAACGTTCAATACTTTCCGCAATTTCCAAAATTTTTGACCCTCTGGGATTAGTCGGACCAATTTCAATAATAGCAAAAATTTTACTTCAGGAACTATGGAAAATTCAAATCGATTGGGACGAATCAGTTCCACAAGACATTTATACAGTATGGACAAATTTTTCTGAAAAATTGACAAGTATCAATGATATACAAATCCCAAGACAAGTTACAATTTCTAGTTACATAGATATACAATTGCATGGCTTTTGTGATGCGAGTGAAAGCGCATATGGATGTTGTTTGTTCATTCGAACCACAAATGCTCGCGGAAAACATTTCGCAAATCTCTTATGCGCCAAATCAAGGGTCGCGCCATTAAAAACGATTACTGTACCCAGACTGGAATTATGTAGCGCAGTTTTACTCGCACGCTTAGTAAGAAAGGCGATTAGTTCATTAACCATTCAATTTTCCAAATATTATTTATGGTCAGATTCTACTATAACATTATCTTGGATTAATTCGGAACCTCATACTTTAAAAACATTTGTTGCAAACAGGGTGACACAAATTCACGAGTTGACACATCCTTCACAATGGAATCATGTGAACTCAACCGACAACCCTGCGGACATAATAAGCAGGGGAGTTAATCCTGAAAATTTGAAGGCGTGTGATCTGTGGTGGGCAGGTCCGGCTTGGCTCACTAGTGATGAAACCATGTGGCCGAAACCTTTCAAAATTACGTATTCTGAAATACCAGAAATTCGTTCAATAAAACCTATATCATTTCCTGTTATTATAAATGATTTAAACCTATTTAGTCGATACTCATCCTTTACTAAATTACATCGTGTAGTCACATACTGCATACGTTTTATGAAAAACTGCAAGGCTAAGAACGGTAGCAAACAAATTGGCTATTTATCAACTACAGAGTTGAATGAATCTTTATTCGTTTTAACAAGATTAGTACAATCAGAGGCATTTAGAGATGAGATACACTGTTTGACAAATTCTAAACCTATTTCGAAAAAGAGTAAATTATATACTTTAAGCCCCTTTTTAGATGATAAGAATATAATTCGTCTTGGAGGTCGTATACATAATTCACACTTCAACTTTGACAAAAAATTTCCAATCTTATTACCCGCAAAACATGATTTGACTTATTTGATCATTAAGCATACGCATAAAAACTTGCTACATGCGGGTCCCCAAACCGTCTTGGCGCATTTAAGGAATAAATTTTGGGTCCTTAATGGTAAGAACTCTGTTAAAAAAATATTGCGACAATGTATAACCTGTTTCAAGGTAAACCCCACCGAAGTGACCCAACCAATGGGTAATCTCCCAGAATATAGATTGAAACCAACACGACCTTTCCTTATTAGTGGTGTTGATTTCGCAGGTCCGTTTCTTATCAAGGACGGTAAATTAAGAAATAGGAAATTCATTAAGGCGTATTTATGCTTATTTGTTTGCTTCGCAACAAAGGCAGTACATCTTGAGATCGCAGGCGACTTGACAACGGATTGTTTTCTAAATGTTCTCAAACGTTTTGTGTCGCGTCGAGGTTTGTGCCAACACATGCATTCAGACAACGGCTTGAATTTTGTTGGGGCAGACAATGAGCTAAAAAGAATTTTTAAATCTATTTTTAACTTTAATAATGACAACCCGATTATGACATATTTAAACAAAAACTCGATTACGTGGCATTTTATTCCTCCACGCTCTCCCCACTTTGGTGGATTGTGGGAAGCTAACATAAAGGGAGCTAAACACCACATGAAGCGAATTTTAGGGAATTCATTCTTAACGTACGAGGAGTTATATACCGTGGTGGTCCAAATCGAGGCAGTCCTCAATTCTCGACCTCTCACCCCACTATCCTCTGATCCCGCCGATCTCATAGCCCTTACACCTAGTCATTTCCTCATAGGAGATGTTCTAACGACCATCCCACAGGAAAATGTAGTTGACACGCCAGTTAACAGATTATCGTTATACAAAAAACTTCAGCAAATGTTGCAACATTTTTGGCGAAGGTGGTCAACGGAATACATCTCCAACCTGCAAAATCGAACCCGATGGAACTCACAGTCACCGCAGGAAATTCAACCCAACACCATGGTCCTGCTCAAGGAGGACAACCTACCCCCACTCCAGTGGAAGCTTGGCAGAGTGAGTGAGGTGTATCGTGGAAAGGACAACATAGTGCGAGTGGTGAGCGTGAAAACAAGTTCAGGTATAGTTAAGCGTGCAGTGAGAAAACTTTGCATACTACCCATTGACAATCTTGTTTAAGATATATTTCTACTTCTTTGAAAGCTATAGGTAGCTTGTCAAGGCCGGGAGCATGTAGAGTCTTATATTTGTATGTAGGGTTGCCTATCTGTGGCATTCAAGCCAGCGCCCTCGTACTAGTTCTAGGAGAATAGTTTTTTTTGTTTTAGTGTGTGGTAAGGACTCAGTATAGTCAGTTGATATTGTAACGTACACTCTCTACAGTCCACAACAAATCAAGTGAAAGTATGTAGTGACAAAACTCTACATAACATAAGTGGTCCATTCGACACGGATTCAACCAGTGAAACCTACGGATACCTAAACGTAAAACACGAAAAATCATAAGACATTAATAATCATAATCACGCAGTGCAAGTGCGCATTCCAATCAAGCCACAACGTGGTAAGCAAAAACGAAATTACAACAATCGGCACCTGCACGGCCGGCGCACGCTACTACACGAGCCGACGAGAGTTGCGGCACCAACCAATCAGAAGCGTTTCAACGGAATCAACAAATCCTGTCTACGTGATCTACAGATGGCCAAGTCAATCCAGTAAGTCTCCATCCTTTAAACATATCCTAATCATTTATTAACTTTGTTTGGTCCAACACGATTATGGCGACTGACGAAAAAACTCAACTAATACAAAAACGAGGCCAATTCAAGGCACAAATCACGCGTTTTACAAATTATCTAGATCATTTCGAGGAAAAAAAGGATTACATTCAATTAAAAAACAGACTCGACAAAATTGAGTTAACATGGCAAGAATTTGACAATATTCAATCACAAATAGAATTGTTGTCTATAGCCGACGATGGCGAGACAGAAACACAAACCGAAGAACGCGTTAGTTTCGAAAATAACTATTTTGATGTTACTTCACGTGCTCAAAAAATGCTCGAATCTAAACCAAAACCGGCGATGTCACAAAACAGTGAACAAGTTAACACAGCTAGTAATGCGAACACATTTCAGAGTCAAGTAAAACTTCCGTCTTTGAGTTTGCCTGAATTTCGAGGTGAATACGACCAGTGGTTAAATTTTTATGATACATTTAACAGTCTTATACACAGCAATCCGTCTTTATCTAATATTCAGAAATATCACTATCTTCAATCATGTCTTAAAGGAGAAGCTGCACAGGTCATTAAGTCGCTGGAAATATCTGACGCAGGTTATACTATCGTTTGGGACCTTTTAAAGGACAGGTTTGAAAACAAATTTTTAATCGTAAATAAACACATACAATCAATTTGCGAATTTCCTCAAATCAAACAAGAAACGCATATACATTTACGCAGATTTTTAGACACAATTTTAAAAGATTTTCGAGCAATAAAAAGCTTAGGTGAGCCAATAGACAAATGGGACACATTACTAATATACATTACGTCACAAAAATTAGACATAATAACAAAAAGGGAATGGGAACAAGAAACAAATAACAAAAATTTTCCCACATTCACTCAATTTACAGATTTTTTGAGAAAGCGTTGTCACTTATTAGAAAAAATTGATACGAACAATAAAACACAGAAAGGTTATTTTAAACGCGAACAAACCAATTCCCTTACTCACATATCTTTACAACAAGTAACATGCGCCTTCTGCAAGGCAAAACATTTTAATTACCAATGCGATAAATTTCTAAAAATGCCAGTACGGGCTAGATACGCAGAAACAAAAAAATATAAACTATGCACTAATTGTTTAAGGCCAAACCATAACAATCTAGAATGCAAATCGGGTTCATGTAAAATTTGTCAGAAAAGGCACAACACTTTATTACATTACGACAGTAATGAGCAGAATGAAGCTGCAATCGCAAACACTACACAATTAAATGTAACGAGCGATGGCGAAGGTAGTAGTCAAGATCAAAAGACAGATCATATGATTATACCGGGTAGTATAGCACATTCGATTCAACAAAAACGAGCTCAAGTACTTTTGTCCACCGCAATAGTACATATTTTAGATAGCAAACACAATCCAATAGAATGTCGAGCACTACTAGATAGTGGTTCACAGTCGAATTTTATGACTACCGAGTTATTCAACAAATTAAAATTAAACAGTACAAAAATAAATTTGCCGGTAACCGGAATAAGCCAGTCATTAACGCACATTTCAAACAAAACACAAGCAACTATAAAATCCACGCAAAATAATTACACGGCTAGCAGAAACTTTTTAATCATTAACAAAATTACAGAAAACATTCCTCAGATTCCGGTTGATACTACAGATTTTTGCATATCTACAAACAATTTAGTTTTAGCGGATCCTACTTACGACAAACCCGGACCTATCGACGTATTGCTAGGTGCAGACATATTTTGGGAGTTATTGTGCATTGGACAGATAAGTAGCGGTAAGGCTAAGCCGATATTGCAAAAAACACGTTTAGGCTGGATAATTTCGGGACAAATTATACAACAGGAGAACAATAAAGGGGTTATTTGTAATCTAACAATTAATACGTCCAATCAAGATTTACACGAACAATTAGAGCGATTCTGGAAAGTCGAGGAAATCGAAAATAAACAAAATTACACAAAAGAGGAACGCGAATGTGAACAAAACTTTATAGAAACTGTCAAACATGACGAAAGCGGTCATTTTGAAGTCGGTTTACCGGTACGCGAGAACCTTAAGTTTTTAGGAAATTCACTTGATATTGCCTTAAGCAGATTCACGCATTTGGAAAACAAATTTAAACGACAACCAGAATTCAAGGCTTATTACGTGAACTTCATGAGAGAATATGAGGAACTCGGACACATGACTCAAATAAAAAATTTCGACGGTGATGATAAGCATATTTGCTATCTACCTCACCATGGCGTAACGAAAGAATCGAGTTCAACTACGAAATTAAGGGTCGTATTCGACGCATCGGCCAAAACAGATACGAATATCTCTTTGAATGACGTACTAAAAACAGGTCCTATCATACAAGACGATTTGTTAGCTATTGTATTGCGATTTCGACAACATAATTATGTATTTACAGCAGATATTAGTAAAATGTATCGTCAAGTTAACATAACCGAAAATCAACGTGACTTACAGCGTATTTTATGGCGAGAAGATTCAGCCCAAGAGCTGAAACATTATAAACTCAACACGGTAACATATGGTACATAACCAGCGTCATTTTTAGCTATACGTTCGCTGCATGAAGTAGCTCGCGAAAACGAGCATTTATATCCGGAAGCTAGTCAAGTAATAATTAGAGATTTCTACGTGGACGATGTCATGTCGGGCGCAGACACGGTAGAAAACGCGAAACGTTTGAAAGAAGAAATCAGTACAATATTAAATAGCACTGGTTTCGAACTAAGAAAATGGAATTCGAACAATCGAAATGTAATAAATGATAAAGATAATACGATAATCGAGTATTACATAAATGAAAACGATCAGTCACAAATATTAGGACTTTCATGGAATGCAAAATCAGATATTTTACACTACACGGTAGAACAAGGTCAATTTAACGGCAAGGTTACTAAACGTTCAATACTTTCCGCAATTTCCAAAATTTTTGACCCTCTGGGATTAGTCGGACCAATTTCAATAATAGCAAAAATTTTACTTCAGGAACTATGGAAAATTCAAATCGATTGGGACGAATCAGTTCCACAAGACATTTATACAGTATGGACAAATTTTTCTGAAAAATTGACAAGTATCAATGATATACAAATCCCAAGACAAGTTACAATTTCTAGTTACATAGATATACAATTGCATGGCTTTTGTGATGCGAGTGAAAGCGCATATGGATGTTGTTTGTTCATTCGAACCACAAATGCTCGCGGAAAACATTTCGCAAATCTCTTATGCGCCAAATCAAGGGTCGCGCCATTAAAAACGATTACTGTACCCAGACTGGAATTATGTAGCGCAGTTTTACTCGCACGCTTAGTAAGAAAGGCGATTAGTTCATTAACCATTCAATTTTCCAAATATTATTTATGGTCAGATTCTACTATAACATTATCTTGGATTAATTCGGAACCTCATACTTTAAAAACATTTGTTGCAAACAGGGTGACACAAATTCACGAGTTGACACATCCTTCACAATGGAATCATGTGAACTCAACCGACAACCCTGCGGACATAATAAGCAGGGGAGTTAATCCTGAAAATTTGAAGGCGTGTGATCTGTGGTGGGCAGGTCCGGCTTGGCTCACTAGTGATGAAACCATGTGGCCGAAACCTTTCAAAATTACGTATTCTGAAATACCAGAAATTCGTTCAATAAAACCTATATCATTTCCTGTTATTATAAATGATTTAAACCTATTTAGTCGATACTCATCCTTTACTAAATTACATCGTGTAGTCACATACTGCATACGTTTTATGAAAAACTGCAAGGCTAAGAACGGTAGCAAACAAATTGGCTATTTATCAACTACAGAGTTGAATGAATCTTTATTCGTTTTAACAAGATTAGTACAATCAGAGGCATTTAGAGATGAGATACACTGTTTGACAAATTCTAAACCTATTTCGAAAAAGAGTAAATTATATACTTTAAGCCCCTTTTTAGATGATAAGAATATAATTCGTCTTGGAGGTCGTATACATAATTCACACTTCAACTTTGACAAAAAATTTCCAATCTTATTACCCGCAAAACATGATTTGACTTATTTGATCATTAAGCATAAGCATAAAAACTTGCTACATACGGGTCCCCAAACCGTCTTGGCGCATTTAAGGAATAAATTTTGGGTCCTTAATGGTAAGAACTCTGTTAAAAAAATAGTGCGACAATGTATAACCTGTTTCAAGGTAAACCCCACCGAAGTGACCCAACCAATGGGTAATCTCCCAGAATATAGATTGAAACCAACACGACCTTTCCTTATTAGTGGTGTTGATTTCACAGGTCCGTTTCTTATCAAGGACGGTAAATTAAGAAATAGGAAATTCATTAAGGCGTATTTATGCTTATTTGTTTGCTTCGCAACAAAGGCAGTACATCTTGAGATCGCAGGCGACTTGACAACGGATTGTTTTCTAAATGTTCTCAAACGTTTTGTGTCGCGTCGAGGTTTGTGCCAACACATGCATTCAGACAACGGCTTGAATTTTGTTGGGGCAGACAATGAGCTAAAAAGAATTTTTAAATCTATTTTTAACTTTAATAATGACAACCCGATTATGACATATTTAAACAAAAACTCGATTACGTGGCATTTTATTCCTCCACGCTCTCCCCACTTTGGTGGATTGTGGGAAGCTAACATAAAGGGAGCTAAACACCACATGAAGCGAATTTTAGGGAATTCATTCTTAACGTACGAGGAGTTATATACCGTGGTGGTCCAAATCGAGGCAGTCCTCAATTCTCGACCTCTCACCCCACTATCCTCTGATCCCGCCGATCTCATAGCCCTTACACCTAGTCATTTCCTCATAGGAGATGTTCTAACGACCATCCCACAGGAAAATGTAGTTGACACGCCAGTTAACAGATTATCGTTATACAAAAAACTTCAGCAAATGTTGCAACATTTTTGGCGAAGGTGGTCAACGGAATACATCTCCAACCTGCAAAATCGAACCCGATGGAACTCACAGTCACCGCAGGAAATTCAACCCAACACCATGGTCCTGCTCAAGGAGGACAACCTACCCCCACTCCAGTGGAAGCTTGGCAGAGTGAGTGAGGTGTATCGTGGAAAGGACAACATAGTGCGAGTGGTGAGCGTGAAAACAAGTTCAGGTATAGTTAAGCGTGCAGTGAGAAAACTTTGCATACTACCCATTGACAATCTTGTTTAAGATATATTTCTACTTCTTTGAAAGCTATAGGTAGCTTGTCAAGGCCGGGAGCATGTAGAGTCTTATATTTGTATGTAGGGTTGCCTATCTGTGGCATTCAAGCCAGCGCCCTCGTACTAGTTCTAGGAGAATAGTTTTTTTTGTTTTAGTGTGTGGTAAGGACTCAGTATAGTCAGTTGATATTGTAACGTACACTCTCTACAGTCCACAACAAATCAAGTGAAAGTATGTAGTGACAAAACTCTACAATGAGGATTTGATTTTCAAAACGCATTTCTTTCGTATTCAAAAAAGTTTTAAACAAAATACCACAAAAAATATTTTCTAATGTCAGGTGATTAATACACTTAATTATTATTATCTTTATAGCACCAATAACTTTTCACATATGATTATTACGTAATAATCTCAAAATGTGTTATGTTTCAAAAACTGCGTTTTGAAAATCAACTCCTCATATAATGATAATAAATAGATAAAGGGATTAAAAAATATGTTTTCCAACATTTCTAGGCAACTTCAAAAAATATATTTTCTCAATTGACTTATTCCATCTCCCATTAAAATAAATGTCCATATTCATAAGTATACAGGGTGATTCTGAAAAAGAATTTTTGAATGTACAGGGGACAAATACAATTTTGTAAGATGTAATCAAAAAGGGCATTTCAAAAATGATTTAAAGATATACTAAAGGCAACAAAGTGTAATAAAAAATGATCGAACAAAAAATTTAAAGAATTTTCCATGGAAAGAAATAAATAAAATTTTGCCTACTTTTGCCACTATTGTTATTATTAATTAATAAAATTAATTTGTGGTTTTAATTAATAAAATAATTTGACATACCTGATGTTACAACAACTGTTCAAAATTTTCTCCAACGACTTGTAAACACATTTGGGCCCATCTTACCCAGTTTCTACGAACTAACACAAATGTTGTCTAGATTCACCATAAACTAAAACGGTATGCATGAACTCCAAGTTGCTATACACGTAAGCCATTTCTGACATTTGAAAAACTAATGTAAACACTATCGCAAAAATGTTAATAATACTAAAATCGGATTTCAGTATTCAGAATCGCCAGGGACTAACAACAACAACGCGGATAGAATGTTGCGATGACGCTAGACACTACAGTAGCCCAGTGATGTTAAGATTTAAAATACTACAACTTCGATAATTTTTTTCTCGAAAATTACGAGTTTTACAAACATTTTTTTACGATATTGACTATTTTTCATGACGTCTTTTTTCCTAATTTTTTTTGGATAAGCTGTGAATCACCCTGTATACAGTTTATCGTCATGTTTGATTTACTTACATACTTATCTCATAATTTTAAATATTTCATTGTACTTATTGTCTTTGTTTTTTTTCCATACATATGATAAATAAAAGATTATTGCTGTATTTTTCATTCATAACTAGCTGCATAAAATCAATGAGTAACCTAACGTGATTATTTCTATAGATTTTTTTGTAGCATTCTTCACAGCCTTATCTTGTCAACGCTTTGTTAACGAGTAAGGAACTAGAGTATCACAATTACTTTAATATGCTACATTAAAAAATTGTCGTACTACCACATCAACCTTTTATAGTGATAAAATCTATAAAATTAAAATAAAAAGCCTTTTGTGGAGGAAGATAAATGGATTACTCATCGCGGCCATTATAAAACAGCTGTATATCCTTTACTCCCTAATAATATATTTAACGAGACAAAGTTTGATTGATTGTCTGTATTGAAGTAAACCAATAATGGTTAAAGTGTTAGAACTGCTTCTGAATTTGTATTAGTAGTCTATAATAATAAATCATGAGCTGCGGTTGGCTACCTGCATGTAAAAATACCAGTTGTCAAGATAATCGTGAATGTTAGTACCCACACGTTTTTACGGATGTTCTGAATAATAATTTTGACAATTTTTTGTGAGAAAATTAATCAGTAGATTTTTGCTAATGTTAAACAAAATTATGAACACTAACATTCAAACGGATGGCCAACACTTGAATATAAAAAAAATAAACGTATTATAAACCGTTATTATGATATAAATGATATCTAAAGAGAAATAGCATTCCCACAATTGGGATGCGTGCTATTTGTCCGCCGTGCGCCAGAGGACGACTTTCATAAAAATTCTCCAGACGTTCTTGATTTCAACGAATAGCCATCCTTATGAAGATTAATTATTTTTATTCATTGTTATAAGGAAATCACGATTTGTCAAATGCTCTATTATAATGGCCCGACAATAAAACGTGAGAAATAGTCCCGACAGAAGAACGGGACAGGCAACGGAGGAATCTTACAAAGCATGAATAATTTGACACAGATACATGATGTACAATTTATTTCTGGTTCAACTGTAAATCGATGTAAAGATTTGAAATCGGTAAACGATTGGAATGCGAATATCGGTTGACATACTTTTGGAAAATTATACTAAATGTGATTTGTTATTATCATTTCGTTTTTAACCAATTAAGAACGATTGCTTTTAAAATAATAATTTGGTAGATTGTAGATGAATGGAGGACACATCATTGTTTTCCTCTGCGAGCAACATAGGTCTAAAAGTGGAAAACGTTTACTTTTACTAGTAAAGTCAATAAATTTTGTCCAAATAAACATTTTCATTTTTCAACTTTTGTATTTTTCTGAGGCAGCTTTTTTAAAATGTAGTTGATCTTATAATTTGGGATACTATCTGGAACCTCAGCGTATGTTGGCCAATGGTCATAGCGGCGTAAAGTTTTCCTTTGTATTATTTCATCAATTTTGTATGTATCGGAATGTTTTCTATTTAGAAATACATTCATATGAGTATTAAGTCTGCTAAAATAATTCGAAGGAAAATTGAGAATTGAACACAGAACTGAATCAAATAGGTAACATAAAAAGCGTTTTTAATGCTTTTATTTCATTATCCTATGCGAAATAATAATTGTAGAAAATCTTATTAGATTCCCATATTCTTTATGGTTCAATGATGAATAAAGTGAAATAAATATTATCCCCTCATAAAAGGTCTATGCACTGAAAGAAATGCGTTTTATTCTTTATTAGAATTCTATACATCATTATAAGACCATTGTATACTATATGTGACAGTTAAACAGGTGAATATTGGATATAAAACGCGTATTGCTAGCACAGTTGTATAGTTAATATAAACCTTATTTTTTATTAAATTATTGTATAACTAGTATACAACGTTTTTTGTACCCTTTACGAAATAATAGCAATAACTGTTATTAATGTGTTACATATCGTTATTAGAACATCTAGTACTGGTTATAAGTTTTATAATAATAAATGTATTAAACTGTTGTATACTCTGTATGAGTTAAAAACATATGTCATTAAGTATTCAGAAATTTTATTGGATAACTGTAATTACAAGCTAAGGTTCCAATGTAAACATACATAAAACATACTTTTAAGCATTAAAAATGATGACAAACCGCTCCCAAAACTGTCCAGTTTATTTTCTTAGCAACGATGCACCCGTATTTTCTTGTATTACATGAGAATTTGCACTATAACTCTTCCACCTTAAGAATGAAGCNAACATAATTTAAATTTTAAAATGTAAATTTTTTTCAAAGTATTGGGCGGAATTATAAAATTTAAAGTCTGTTGTAAAGAGAATTGTAAGAGCTTTCAAAAGAAATATTACTCAACCCCCAATAAAAATGAAATATTTTGGGGTGATGCTTACCCTTGCTTGGGGGTGAAAGTGGCGGAGTTAAAAATACCAGCAAAGAATGTCCCCCTTTAATCTAAAATCAGTGGGTCTGAGCGTTTTCTACAATCTTGACTCAGTTCTTGAAAATGGCTCCGTTTCGTTTTCATTTGGCCACCCTTTATATCTCCACTTTATATTCCAAACGTGCCATTTTCATAAAATTTAACTTAAAACTTCCAAATTTTGTAAAATAATAAAATGTGCTCCTCAAAATTAATTTTACAGTACGTTTTTGAAAGTGACATATTAATTTCAACAGCTGTATATTTATGGCAAAATGAAACAGTAAAGTAGAGTGATTCAACTTTTAATGCGAAAGCTTCTCTAAACAAAGAGTTTCATACGATTGTGGATAGTAGTTTGGTTCGTTTTCGAGATAGGGTGTTGAAATTATGCAAATATATCAAATTTTTTTATGTAGATGACGAAACCTAGACCACTGATTTATCTAATTGCAAGTTTAAGTAAGTAAAAACCCTCTAATTGTAAGTTGACTTTCAAATCTGTCAGTGACGATAAGTACCACTAGGAGCCTCGCAATTTCTACGCTAATCCAAATTCTGCAAATTTGATTAGTGTTTTTTATTAAGCAAAGTGTCAAACTCACTCATACACACACAAACGACAATGAAATGAACGACTAATGTCCCTCACCAAAAAACCTGGATTGTTTACCGTCACGCCAGGCCGACAGGGCAGGCATTAGGGTGCCGCTATATATGTATAGAATGAATTGATCGATGCGAAACTTCAGATCAAAGACAGACATGTAAATGTTATTGTACAATGAAGCGGATAGTTCCTTTTGAGGTAGACATTATTATTTTGTAGTTTTACTGGTACTTATTATTACATGCTATTTTATGATAAGTTCCATGTGAAGCGTTTAGTGTAGACAAATAGACAATGCCCCTTTTTGTTTTATTATGCAAATGTAGACAATACTGTTGTGATGTTGTTGTTGAGTGTTTAGTTTGAGTTCCTTAATTGCGGTGCGTTCCTTTGCTTCCAGATATCCCTGATGTCAGTTGCTCCTGTCGTCTTTCATCTGTTGAATTTGTACGAACTGGACTACTGCAACTTTTCACTACACTACACTTACAGTTTTTACCAAAATTTTGTAAATTGTACTATTTGATACTTGTGACTTGTCCTTAGTGTTTTAACTTTCATTATTTTAAAACTCTTTATGTAGTTCAGAATGTATGAATTTAAAATAAGTTGTATATAAATAAATACCAATAAAAAATTTAAGTATTTTATCTACCCTTACAGTCATACTACTATTTTATCTTCCCATGCGGTTAAAATGCTACTTGGTCTATTAATTTAAGTTATATAAAGCACACTTAAGATTTGAAAAAAATTTATTATAGTGATTTTTTATAAACTGCGTTAATTTAGCATCAGTTATAACCTCATTAAAATTAAAACCATTTTC